CATGCCAAATCGTCAACAATCAAATCCCTGGTTATGTGATGCAAACACCTAAATGTATTAGTTAACAAATCATGCACTATGGTAAATGTGGCACATTGTGCAACTGCACATAGAACCGCACAAAATAGGTCTATATTAATCAATAATCTGCCCTGTGATCATTTGTGAGAAGGAATAAAACTTGTTGGTTTTTTACTGCCTCCAGTTTTCATTTCAGCTGGAAACATAGGTACATTTTCTGTAGTTTTGCTTTGGCAAAAATGTAGCCAGAGACACATTTTTCCACTAAACCGATGTTTATTTTTTACATTTAAATATATTTTTCATCTTTTTTTTTCATCGACGCTCACTTAGTCTGTAATCTTGTAATGTAATCTTCAGTAAATATAAAAAATATATATTTTTCATACTGTTTATTATAATACCGTGATGCCTATATTTAACAGGTCAAATAGTTCATGTGAGCTTTTAATTTTTAATTTAGACATAATAGTATATCATTTAATATCTGCCATATTCAATTATCAACCATACCTTAAAAATAATTGGCTTAGCAATATCAGACAGAATTTTACATTTCATTTTTAATACCCTATCACTTTCTTCCTCATGCAAATTTATGGTATGGTATGGTATTTGGAATAAAGTGCACACATCATACGGACTACATTGAAAATCCTTTTATGGAGAGCTTTGTGTTTACTTTATTTTGAGTCTGAGATCTGAGTCCACTTACAAATCCAAGAACAGAATGAATATAAAAAGGAATTGCATTCTTTTTCCACTATACTTTCACTTTTGGCTCCACTTAACATACAGACGGGCCAATAATCTGTTTGACTGATCATCCACTTTCCAAAACAGAACTCTGATATTCTGCAGAAGATTTCCCTGTTTCACGAAAAAAGAAAATCACATGAATTTTGATAGTGTGAATGCGAACCCCTTTCACTTATATTGTGCATTCTAAAAAGCAAATCTCTCAGTGTTTATCTTGACATCGGAGTCCAATTTCAAGGCCAGGAACAGAATGAAAAGAAGCAGTTTTTTTCTCACATAGTTCACTACTGGGTCTACTTAACATACAAAAAGACTAATAATTTGTTTGACTTATTAATTTTTTTATATATATATTCTGCCAAAGAGCACTCTATTTCACAGACAAAAATAAAATAACATACAATTGGAATGAGATGTGGATGAGTAAATGATGTCAAATTGTTCATTCTGGACTGAAATATTCCTTTAAAACTTGGTATGTAAACAAAGCATTTTCACAGATAAACCACCCTTATCAACATACTACAGAGAGTACAGAACAAACCAGAACTACTCAATCGAAAGGACATTGCCTCTTCTCAACTCACAGAGTCAAATACACAGCCTTCCCTATCCCAACATGTCACATACTGTCCTGATGGGGATTTATGATTGATTTCTAATGTATGATATTTAAAAACGCACACATTCACAAAACTACATGAAACACCAAGACAACCCCACACTATGGAATGCAGTGAATATTTCAGGAAGCACACAAAATTACCGTCACACAAGAAGCGGAAAGAAGAGGAAATTGCACGCACACACACGTACCGTCACACACATATGTTTGGTGGAAAAATGTTCCAGGTCAAAATTAAACAACTAGATACACTGAGGCGAAGTGGGAAATCAGAGGGTGTTTTCACAGTAACTTTGTTTCAGGGGGTCACACAAATTTTGACAATATAATGTGCATTCTAAATGCAAAGCACTCCAGTTTTCACAGGTAAATTTATTTATTATTTTAACATTCTGTTTGCATATTTTTTGTACGATTTTTCATTATAGTTACATTAAACATTACTGAACTTACAAAAATTATAGAATTTACTTACAGAAATGTTGGAAATTCCTATAAAATTTTATTATATTATTAATGTAGACATGTATTAAATGTATTAAAGTAGTAATGGAATATTATAACAGTATTTTTGTGATTAAGCTATGGCGTTTATGCTATTTTTATACTAAATGTATTCAGACTACTGTTTTTCATACAAATACCTAAAAACGTTCCATTTGTACCATGGTATTGAGGTGCGATATGTGTGGATTTAACTGGTATCATGATCTAAATGTGTGCTACTATGGAAGACCAATGGTTAATTTGAATAAAACTCAAACAGTCAGAATAATTCAATTTCACCATATAAAAATGAGGTTGTTACAGTTTTTACAGATGTTACTCTTTTTGATAATGAACATGAATTTACATCTGCATCCTAACTCAAGCTGCTACTACTACTGTCAACTCAAGCTCCTGTCAAATGTGCATTTCTAAGAGACAAAAAAATGTAGTATTATTAATATTGCAGCCTGCACTGAAAATTGTGCAGAAGATGCACGTCATCAAAGTCAGGCAACACAAACCTGTTTCAGGATTTAAAACAATATGACTCATTAGAACATGCAGAAATTCATAAATAAATTTTTCTATTAAGATATTTATTTTGCTATGGAAAAATTGACTGGAAAAGTGTAAAGAACTCAAAAAGTGTTTGTCACGTTCTGACCACAAAAAGCGGTTTAAAAGCACAATTAATGGTCTGGTTTCTATAACTTTCACTTAGGAGCTGCCTTTAAACTTAAAAGAAATAAAGACGTGAAATGTATTGTGATAATTATCGATATCGACTATCTAAATGATCAGGATCATTTTTTGGCCATATCACCCAGCCTTACTTATGCACTAATAGTATTTAAAATTTTGAATGAGCTTTTTATATGTCCAGTTTTCATTTTAATTTTAGTTTGTTTTAGTGATTTTGTTATGTGCCTTTGTCATTTTGATTTGTTTTCTATATATTTCTATTTAGTTTTTGTTTCCATTTTTAATTTAGTAATCTTAGTACTTGCCAATGTTTCTCATTTTTATTTAAGTTTACATTTTTCGTCTAATATTTACATCGATTTTAAATTTCAGCATTATTTCAATTACAGAAAAAAAATGGGGGGGGGGGGGGGGGTTTTTTTTG